CTATTAAAAATAAATTATGTATATATTTAAAATAATTTTTATTGAAGTAATAGAATTATTTGTAATTTAGTATATAAATCTTATTATTATATATATATTTTATATATTCTATATATTTTCTATAATTATTATTATTTTAATATATATTTTTTCATAGAAGTTATACACTCATTATGTAACTATAAAACCTTAGAAGATTACTACTATAATAACTGTAATAACAAATTAATAAAATCTAATCAGCTAAAAAAATAACCTTAATAACTTAAAAAAAAAAAGATATATTCTATTTTAATATAGGTTTTAAAAATAACTTTATTTAATTAAATTATATATAATTTTAAAATATTTTATTTAACAGTTAATTAATTTGTATATAATTTTACTAAAAAAAAATTTTGTAAATAAATTCTATATTTTTAAATGGCAATTACTATTTGTACACGAGTGTACATACACACGTATGATAAATATCTCAAAATTTTGCCTAAGAAACTACCTTTGAGGTTCTAATAAAAAAATTCCTTGCCAAATTTTGGTATAAACTATATACCTTGCTAAAATCCCAGGCCTCGCCCTAAAACTTAATCGAATTTTATTTTTATAAAAATTGTTTTAATTTCGATTACATAAATTTAAAAATTAATATCCGTGTACAAACACACGTGTAAATTAAGTAATTTTCTTTTTAAATTTAACTATTAAATTTTACAAATCAAAATAAAAAAATTTTAAAACTTACTTTTAAAGCAATACTCAGATCTTAAAAGCTAAATAAAATTTAATTTTAAAAACTAAGATAAAAAAAAAATTAGAAACTAGCTTCTAAAGCAATATTCAGGTCTTAAGAACTAAATAAAATTAAAAACTATCAACAATTAAATTTTATTAAAATATTAACGTTAAAAAATAAAAAAAAATTAAATCTAAGATAAAGAAAAAAAATTAGAAACTAGCTCTCGGAGCAACGCTCGGGTCTTAAGAGCTAGTAGTAGCTATATAGTTACTTTGCAGTCACTGCGCAATTACTGCGTATTAAGAGATTTAGGTATCGCTTATTAAAATATAAGATTTTATTATATTTTTTACATCGTTAAACAAAATATTATTAAATTTGACTAGAAAAAAAATACTATTATCAACATACATTTTGCAATCGAAGCAAATCACATTTACTGTGATTTACTGTGATTTACTTCGATCACAGCAAATCACAAAATTTGCATATCCCTGCTCTAGTTAAACTAAGAATTAATTATAATATTTTTAGCTTCATCAAATGAGACAAAAGAACATAATAGTCTCTAGATAAAGTACGAATTTAATTAAAATATCTTTAGCTTTATATGTACCGTAAATAAACTATCCTCAACCTTTAATCAAGCCGAAAAGTTACCGTAATTATTATACGTTTTAGTTTCATCAGTAAGATAAACTTTACAGCCTTTAGTTAAACTATGATTCTATTATAATACATTTTTTTTCATTTTCGTTATGTATAAAAATACAATAAATTTCTCTTCAACTTTCTCATCAACAAACAATCTCTAAAAAATTCTCAAAAAAAAAAAAAAATTCTCGAAAAAATGTCTAAAAAAACTGGGAAAATTTTGATTGCTCTACTTGTCGTGATTTATATCATCGCTTCAGTTTCGGCAAAACCCTTAAATACTGATGATTTGCAAACTATCGATTACGAGTCCGAATTCGCAAGTCCTCAATCTTACGCCGACGCCGATTATGAGAGAGAGAGTGAGAGAGAGAGTGAGAGTGAGAAAGAGATGGGAGAGAAAGAGAGTGAGAGTGAGAGAGAGAGTGAGGAAGTTAATTATGATAGCGATGTATCCACTAGTGATGTAGCTAAAAAACCTATCTTTAAATGGAAGTGCGTTAAATGTAAGAAAGGAAAGAAGCCAAAGAAATTTAAATGTTTCAGATGTATAAAGATCAAAAAGTAATAATTGAAATATTGTAATATTGTAATAATATGTATTGAGAATATACATTAACATTTCTAATAAAGGGTATCGATAAAAATTTGACACTGATCTAATTTTTATTATAAAATATTTTTCGTTCCAAAATTATCAAAAATATTTTGGTGTACTGTAATCTTTTAGTATGCTAAAATTCTGAGCGTTCCCCAAAGTCAAAATGTTTGCCTAATGAAAGTATTTTTATTCTATTATTACAGTATTGAACGATCAATTCTTTATTGTAGCTTGACAAAAAGGCTGATCTGGTAATTGAAAATCTCTTAAGATAACTCTAGGGTTAGGGTTAGGGTTAGTAATATATAGGTAAAATTACTTTCCCGAAAATTTTTATTAGTGCCAAAAAGTCTGGTCCTGAACTAGTCAGAGAACTAACACTAGTTCATAACACCCGTCTGAAACCGATCCAACTCTAGCAGTTTTTAATATACAACACAAATAATATTAGAATCTTGTAATACAATACTTTTTTACATTTACAGGTGATTGATAAATTATCGTTATCACAAGACTTATCATTATGGAATTAGTTTTGGATCATTTCTGAACAAAAAGTCTGGTCAAGACCCGGTGGACAGGGACATGGAAAATTATTATATTATTATTATTATTATTCCTGTAGCTTATCTGTCGATTAGGTGACACTATTTTAGTCAACTGATGCTATACTTTGTTGATCAAAATTTTCGAAAGAAAAGTTTAGTAGAGAAACGATTTGGTTCATTCGACTCCATATAATTAATCGATTTTATTAGGTTTTTTTTTTTTTTTTTTTTTTTGCTAATAACCAATAAAAATCAAGAATTCTAGAAAATTTTTCCGTGTCCCTGGCTGTGGACTACTTAACATCCCTAAGCTTTCGCTCACTTAATCCGGAAACTGATATTTACTCTAGTAATTCGAAATACTTACCCAGTTGAAATCGAATAAAATGTGGCTTTCGACCCAAACTTAGCCAATGAAAATTCAAGATTAAGCGTAAAAACTCCTTAAGGCCATATACATAGGGTTATATTACATAAAATTACATTTGTAGCTTTATTGTCATTAGGGTTGTGTTACGAAAATTACGCAAGTTTCAGTAAATCAGATTTTATGTAATTTTCTTCGTGTGTACCAGCATTACAGAAGTTTAGCCTGTATTATTGCATCGAATCTATGATTCGCATTGTAGCTCGCTCAATCATCACGACATTTAAATAATGAAAATGATGAAATATTGATTTACCGAAACTTACACAAAATTAAATTAGAAATATCTTCTCCACGTAAAATACATAAAATTACACAATCATAATTGTTATGCGATTATCCCACCAACGCTATGAAAGTTTAGCTAGTATTAATAAATTTGTGATATTTTTGGAGCTATAATTTAAATATTTACAGGTATATACTTACGAAAGTTTTTTCATCATTAACCACATGATGAAGTTTGATTTCAGAAAATTTACGTAAAATTACGGCAATTTTCCAACCCTAGCCATACAGTTACTCAACATATAAATTTTAAAACCAGCCGGCTTTTAATTTATAATTGTAAAATTTTATTTTCGCCAAATTCTTGGACACTTGATTACAGTAAGTTTTTGATTTCACCCAAAATCAAAAAACCTATTGAATCGGATAGTCTTTTTTTTTTTTTTTTAAATCAGGTGTCCAAGAATTTATGAAAACAGTTGTAAATCAAGCGTAAAACCTATTGTTAAATGACGGAGATTTCCGTCTTGACTTTTCATCAGTCGGAAAATTGCTGTATATCAGATATGATATCAAAATACGTATCATATATAAATCTTAATAAATATTATCACTACATCCGGCTGAATTTTCTAAATTCCGGTTAAAAATAAACACCGCCGGAGAAAAAGCAGCTTCCGGCACCCGGAAATTTTGTGCACTGTTGTAAATGTTTTTATTATTCGGAAAAATATTTATATATATGGTTTTATTTTGTGTAAAGGCACGAAGACTCTAACAGGTCAGGTCTCAAGATCATAAAATGTATATAATAAAGAGGAGGAGCCAACGTCCTTCTTGATAAAGTAACATAAAACAATGATCTATTTCTGTGAATCACAGAAAATCATCGTCCCTAATCCCGGCCAGAACAACTTTAGTGAATCAATTTTACAGATTTTGTCACGTCTTGTCACTCATTTCATGATTTGATCGAGTGACAAATATCTTTTTTTTTTTTTTTTTTCGAAATTTTACTGTAAAATAGTTTGATTCTAATTTACTAAACTTCTTTAATTTTCGTAACTCGAAAAAATAACTCGATTATATGATTCGAGTTGATTCAAGTATAAGTTTAATTCACGAGTTACGGGTTGACACGAGACAAGTCACTAATTCACTGTAACTTCTGCATATTAACGTATTATTAACGTATTGTACAGCTATTATCATAAATCCTGGGACACTGAAAAAATTTCTGATAACTGATTCGGTTATCATGTCCCAGAATTTTGATATCAAAAACGTCTCGGCTTGGCTTGGGTAATGTAAATGCTGTTAACAAGCCGATTAGTATCTCTATGATTTAGTTTCATCAATAAGATAACCTCTACGTAGTTAAAATATGAATTAAAATATATCGTTTCTTTTTTTTTTTTTTTAGCTTTAAAATCAATAAGATAAACTACGAATTAGTCTCCAGTTAAACTACGAATTAAATTATTAGCTTCATAAATAAGACAAAATAACATAGTAAAAACCTTTAGTTAAAGTACGAATTCAAAATTATAATGTTTTATTTCTTAAATAAAATAAACTATCCTACAACCTTAAATCCTATATGTTATAGTTTAATCAGTAAAATAAACTATTTTTACTGAGCCTTTAGTTTAAACTATGAATTCAATTATGATATATATATATATATATATATTCATTTTCATTAAGTATAAAAATACAACAAATTTCTCTTCAGCTTTCTCATCAAAAAAGATCCCTAAAAAATTCTCCAAAGAATTCTCGAAAAAAAAAAAAAATCTTTAAAAAATGTCTAAAACTGGGAAAATTTTGATTGCTCTACTTGTCGCGATTTATATCATCGCTTCAGTTTCGGCAAAACCCTTCAATACTGATGATTTACAAACTACCGATTACGAGTCCGAATCCGCAAGTCCTCAATCTTACGCCGACGCCGATTATGAGAGAGAGAGAGAGAGTGAGAGTGAGAGAGAGAAAGAGATGAGAGAGAAAGAGAGTGAGAGAGAGAGTGAGAGAGAGGAAGTTAATTATGATAGCGATGTATCCACTAGTGATGCAGCTAAAAAACCTATCTTTAAATGGAAGTGCGTTAAATGTAAGAAAGGAAAGAAGCCAAAGAAATTTAACTGTTTCAAATGTAAAAAGATCAAAAGAACTTGAAATATTGAAATATTGTTGTAATAATATGTATTGAGAATATACATTACATATATGTCGTGATCTGTCACATTTCTAATAAAGATTATTGATAAAAATCTGACATTGTTCTAATTTTTATTATAAATATTTTTCGCGTATAACTATCAAAAGTATTTTGGTGTATCGTGATTTTTTTTTTAGTAAACTCATCGTGTTAAAAAATGTTGAGCGTTCTCAAAATTCGAAAATGTTTGCTTACCAAAAATATTTTAGTCCATTATTACTTTGACCTGGTCTTGTAAAATTTTTGAAATATCGATTCACATAACATGCAAAGAACAATATATATTGTATTATGAAATAACAAGATTAGTTATTGGAATAGTCCATACCGCTAAAAATGTTATGGTATTATCTGTTATACGTCGCTTTGGAATTCATGTTAATTCTAAATTGACATAGAATCATAATTCGACGTATGTTATATCATAATCAGTATATAATTAAGAGATAGTTCGGTTCTGAAGGGTATAAAAAATAGCAAATTTCATAGTAAAAAACGGCGGAACTTTATATAGTTTTTCTATAATGTAGGAATCTGGCTCGCTTACATATAAAACTTTTTTTTTTTATTACTAAGTAAAGATTTCTTGAGCTTCCAAGTAAAGTTGTAAAGACGATAATTCTCGTTCTAATTATGCTAAAATAATTGAAAACCGTTCAGTAGATTACTATTTTCATTTTTTTTTTACTATACAATTTTACTATTGCAAAAACTTTCAGATTCTATCTCTATATGAAAGTATTAATATTAATGATAAATTTTTATTCCAACGACCACAACGTCTAGTACTAAGTACTATGCATTATTTTTTACATTATGGGTTGCAACGGCAGTTGTTTGTGCTTGTTTTTGAATCATTGTATGGTAGTCTGGTAGTCGCGTCAAATTTGCTCGGAACAATAATTCGAATATTTATTTATCATAAATTTGAGTTTTTTCGAGCATCGAGAAAATTTCTTTTTTAAACTAGAAAAAACAGTAGCGTTTTGTGGCCCTTACACTTTAACATTAAACTTATTGCTTATTAGATTAATATTATAATTCGTAAAGAAAGCAATCCTTGTTCCTCTATTAATCTTTGTTGTAAATGTGCAGTTTTTGTATTATGTCAAAGGTGAAATGAAGAAGATCAGTAAGTGTACGAACCCGTGATACACTTACAACCAGTTACAAATTCATTGTTTCCAATATTTATTACAGCTTGTGGCAATATTAAATCTTGTGACTTATGAATTGTAATTGCCCAAGCAAGGCATAAAGAAAACTGCAAGTGGGAGCAAGTTTCTAAATTTCCTTCCCAAGTATATTTAATAGGTCGAATTGGCCTTTCCTTTGTAATCTATCCCAATACTATAGCATCTTTGGATAATAGAGCAACAACACTTCAACGCAAATTTCAACTAACGCAACCACTTTACGAATTCTCAAAAATTGGGAAAATACGTTCTTTTATTTTTACTGTTATAATTTATTATGTTATCTTTTAACTATTATCAAATTGTTGAACCTAATTTAGGTTCAATTCCGGTTATTGATCCTAAAATTCGAATTAGTTGAACAAAAGAACTAGACATTCCTAAAAATTCAGTAGAATGAGGCTTGAAAGGCTTTCACTTCGCTCTCCTCTGCTCTATTCTTTTCTGAATATTATCATTCTTTTTTAAAATATAAGACAGAATATTATTTATGTAAATTTAACTTCAAAATTAACTTATTGTTATATTATGATGCTCAGTAAATGTTCGATTAAAATTAGTGATTATACCCGGGTAAGATTTTTTCTTGAATAACATAATAATTTATCCGGGTCAACCCAGTATTTAATATACCCAGGTAATTATTTTCTCGGCGGGTACAATCTCTAATTAAAAACGTTAGTTTTTTATATGCATTTGATCATGATTATATTTATAACGGTCTTCACTTTTCGACTATTCATACAATTGTTAACTATGTTTAATTTAATTAAAAATCACGATTTTATTCGGTTAATGTGATTTAATATCTTTGAACTTTGAGCATGACATAAAAACAAGTTTCTTGACAGCATGGTTGAATATCCATCTGATTGGTTGTTGATCCTTAAAATTTGATTGGCTAATTATAGTAGACGTCTTATATAAAAATACACTCGATCATATGAGAAATCATAAACGAATCTGATTATATCTGATTAAATTTGCCAAAAGCAAGTGATACTAACGAATAATATTTCCACAAAGTTTCGTCAACTGTTAATTATGTAAATTTATTACTTCCGAGTAGCAAGTAATAAATTTACATAATTAACAGTTAACGAAACTTTGTGGAAATATTATTCGTTAGTATCACTTGCTTCTGGCAAATTTAATCAGATATAATCAGATTCGTTTATGATTTCTCATATGATCGAGTGTATTTTTATATAAGACGTCTACTATAATTAGCCAATCAAATTTTAAGGATCAACAACCAATCAGATGGATATTCAACCATGCTTTTCTTGACTCCTCTTTTTTCTCATTGTTTTTAACACCTCACGTTACGTCATGAATTGTTCGGGGGCACGTGAAGATTGCCAATGATGACGAAACGTTACACAATCAGGAAAAATCAAAACAAAACGTTATGTTATAAATTGTTCTGGTACACATGAAAATTGAAGCAAATTAGCCAATGGTGATTAACAGTTTAACGTAACGTTACACAATCAGGAAAAGTCAAAACAAACTGCTATAAAAATCCCTACCAAATCTAACGCTAATAACCAGAGAAAGGGGAGCCTAGAGAAAAGTAAGAAAAACTCTGAAATTTTCTAGGTTCGCTGGTTCTCTGCTTTTGTATCTTTCAACACTCCCTACAGTTGTAAGGTTAAGAGATACAAAGAAGGTGAACCTGAAGAAAAAGTAGATCAACAATTAAGGGAACTGAGGGATAATTTAGAAAACTGAGGGAAGATAAAGTTGATCAAAATTTCTTTGGTTCACTAACTTTTTCTTTTATATCTTACAGAGTAAGGGGTAAAAGATATTAATAAAAAAAAAAATATTGACGACTTTTTTTTGCTTGCTTAAAGGAAGAGTTTGCTTTTTTTTTAAGCCGCATTAAAATAAATAAATAAAGTATTATCTAGATATTATATCTAGATAAAATAATTAAAAATTCGTGTGTATGCGTACCTGCAGGGTAGTCTTTTTTTTATAATAATTCGCGATCAAACATTGCAAAACCTAATCTAATTCGATAGGGGATTGTAAGTGAAATCGCAAAAAGGGAAGCAGTTTTTCTATATGTATAAAAAGAAATTTTTAAAAAATCTGTAACCCAGGAAAATAAGGAACGGCAAAATGAAGTTTTTAGTGGTAATGCCACTAGACGTAGGATGCGGTCCTATGTGCAAAAGCGGTAGATTATTTTAATTTATCGCTTAAATTATAAAGGATTTTCGATATACAGATCCTGTATAATCTGAAATATTCTTTTGAATATTCTAAAATATTCTTTTGAATATTATGAAATATTCTTTTGAATATTAATGATGATTTTTTTTTATTTTATTTGTTGGCTATTTAAATTCTGAAATATTCTTTGAATATTAATGATGACCAAAATTCAGACATAGAATATCTTGTCTAAAAAATCAGTATGAGTTCCTTCTGATGTTTTTCTTAGATAAATTATTATTTAATTAGTATGCTGACTTAATTTACGCACCTGACGATTTGACCAACGTTGTAGATAAGGATGAAGTGAATAAAATGATAGACGATGATAATGAAAATTCCAGAACTTTCGCAAATGAAACAGTTACATACATCTATAGATGGGGGTGAAATTAAAATTTAATTTTAGAATATTTCAACTGTTGAAATTAAATTCAACTGTTGAAACCGAATTTATTTTTAGTAGTTGAAAATGATTTAATTGTTGAAATTAATTCAACTGTTTTAATTATAGAGAATAATTTACATATAGCGATATTAAATATTCTACGTTAACTATATAAATCAAAACTATTTGTAGTATCATAAAAAATTTTATCATTAAAGATTTTTTTATTAATCGAGTTTTAAATATATAGTGATAATATAATTTTTATTACGGCAATATTTATTAAAGCAATATTTATTACAGCAATATTTATGTCATTTGTCACGAATTTCACAATACGCCTTCAACTATAGATACTGTATAATAAGTAAGAACATAAGAGTTTGGGGTGTCAACAATCAGTTTAATCACAAACATAGAGCAAGACATATAGTAAAAATCATTAGTGAAGATTGTTTTTGAAATTGATTTTAAAATTCTTGATTTATAACTAGGCGTTTGAGTTGCTTAAAGGGAGTTAGAATTGAGTGTAATATATTGTATTATACTGGTATAATACGTATGTACAGAAGCATGTAACAGAAATACATAGCTTCGGATAAACATTTATGAAATTATATTTAAAATTAACTGATCTTTTGAATAAAATACATTT